ATGCAGAGAATAATATCTTACAAGTAGTTAGTAAGTTCTCTGAGACTTCTTTTACAGAGATTATTCATGATTCAGATAACTGCTTCTGAGTGTCTACAGTAGAGTTCACAGAAGTTGAAGTATGTAAGTTTCTAGTTCTTTCAGTCATAACAGGCAGTTACTGACTGACTGAGCTTGAAATATAAGAATAAGTGTTTACAGGTGATTATTCAGATGTTTGCAGCTTGATGTGATATGTACTGTCAACTACTAGAAGTATTCACAGTAGAAAGATAAAATGTAGAGGTTAAATGTATAATAGCATTCAAGCTGAGTTATAAATAGTATTTGTGAACTTCAGTCTATATAGTTGTGTGTAGCCAAGGGCCGCTAGCTCTATTAATTATGTGAGAGATAGAAATAGAAGTAAAGAATTGGCAAGAAGCGGGATTTGTTACATATAAAGCTTCATTGAATTTACTAACTTCTATCAGTGATTTATACAAAACTTCTCAGATATTGCAAGATCACTTACAGATCTTACTAAGAAAGACTCAGTATTTCAATAATCAGTGAATGCTGAAGCTGCATTTATATAGATGAAGAAGATGTTCATTAATATCTCTCTGCTGATAACATTTAATTCTGATTATAAGACAGTTATTAAGACTGATTTCTCTGACTATGTAATAGAAGAAGTGATATTGTAATATAATGATAAAGATATTCTATAATCATGTGTTTTCATATCTAAGAAACTGAGTTCTGCTGAATGCAATTATGAGATCTACAATAAGAAACTTCTCACAATTATACACTGTTTAGAAGAATGAAACTCTGAACTCTGAAGTGTCTCTGAATTTGAGATAATCACAGATTATAAGAATCTTAAATACTTCATAACTATCTGTAAACTCACTGAATGATAGATATGATAATCTGAGTTTTTAAGCTGTTTTCATTTTATAATACACTATCACTCTGACAGTCAGAACTCAATGACAGATACTCTCTTATAATGAGAACAAGATATACTGTTTGATGTAACAGATATATACTGAATAAACTGAGAATATCAGCTCTTAGATCTGAAGATATTGATTGATCAAGATAGAACAACTCATGACACTATATATACTTCTCTGATTAGAACATTCTCTCTTTAAACAAATACTGATATTGATATCTTCACTTTCTCTACACTAAATGAACTGTGATATACAGCAGCTCAGACTGATGAACTTCTTCAGACTCTCACTGAAGCAGTATATTAAGAAGCACTCTGATTCTCTTCAGAACTATGTATAAGAACTGATATCTCAGAATGTTCAATTGATAATAATAATACTCTATGATTCTATGAATAATGCTGAGTCTCTCACTTCAAATCCTTACATACTTGAATATTGCAAGAGATGTATAATATATGTATAACTGATTATTTAAACTGTGAATAACTGTATAGAATGATCTTCTGAGAGTTCTATTAGTCCGAGATATTAAATAGTATCAGATACTTTATCTAAAACTGTAATTACTATTCTTCTATTATCTCATGAAAGAACTGTAGAAAAGATCTACTGAAATCACTCAATATTTCTGATAGAATCTGATGAGATGTAGTAATTGACTTCACTATTAATCTATCTGAGAGTAAGAATTATAGAAATATTCTGATCATTGTGAATTGATTGAGTAAAGATATAATATTGAAATCTTATAATAAGATAAATACTGAACAAGTCACTGAAGCTTTTCTACAGAGCTTATTCTATCAGATACATGAATTACTGAGATTCATAGTATCAGATTAAGACTGTTAATTTATAAGTACTCTCTAAATAAGAATCTGTCAAGTTCTTAAGATTATATACTATCTGTCAACTGTCTATCACTCTGAGACTGATAATGCATCAGAATAGACAATTCAGACTGTAAAGAATTATCTTTATAAGTTCTACAATCACTTATAAGATGATTGACATGACCTGCTTTTACATGTAGAAGTTACTATCAATGATTGAGATGCTATTTCAATAGATATAAGCTTATTCTTTCTTATATACAGTTATTATATAAAAGTGGTAAATCTTCTAGAGATTATACAGTTTATACTGAACTCTCACAGTCTGATTCAGATTACTAATAATATAGTAATGAAGCTCTGAGATATCTGTGATTGAGCAGAGATCTTCATGATAACTGTGAAACAAGATTAAGAGAATTAAATTAATATTTATCAAGATCTCACTGAATAATATAAGATAGAAGATCTGATATAATTGAATCTTAAGAATATATGAATCACATATTTATCTTATATACTAGATTACTGTTATATCAGATATAAAGTGATAGAAGTTCTAGATAGTTATAACTACTATCTTAACACATTATCAGAAATTTATAATGTATTTCACACAAGCTTGCTCTACTGCATTATCACTGATCTGTTTCTATCTCAGCTGACTTCTGACTGACAGTTATCAGACATCATAGAAGAAGATAATGAGCTTGAGTGAGAGATTGAGAATATTCTTGATAAGAGATCTCACAGCTGCAGCTGATAATATCTTATAAAATAAGTTAGCTATGATTAACTGATCTGAACTCTGAGTTCTGTGTTATCTGAAACAGCAGTCCTTGACTGATAGAAACTGCTTCTGAAAGAGAGGAACTAATGTGATGAGCTGTGCCTGATCAATTATATAAACTATTCTATTACACTTCATAGATTCTTTCATTTCACTCTTAAACATATACACTCTGATTCTCAGTCATTTCTGATCACTGATCCTCGGCTGCTATAAACATGTGTAATGTACACTTCAATTCTCAGCTATTTCTGATTGCTGATTCTCAGCTGCTATGAATGTGTGTATATTCTTCTGCTCTGAAGCTTCATTACATACACTATCACATACATGTATAAATATTCATCTCAATTGCTGATTCTCATACTTTCTGTTTCTTTCCTTCTTTAACATTTTTATCTTTGTTAAATAAGACCTATTAATATAATACTGATCTATTCGGCGTAGGCCTCTTACATATCAGTATATAAGAGTCAAGATCAGTATTTTCTTCACTGAGTCATGAGAATTAAAACTGAAGTTGTTGAGATATAATCATATTGCAAATCTTTACTAATTCAGACTGAGTTGAAAATTATGACACATAACTAAGATCTTTTGAAAAGCATATTTTACTCTGATATACAAGTTATTTCTCTATCATATCAATTATTTATTAATGAATTTAATTTATATCAGAACATATACTGAAGCTTGATAAGTTTTTATATAATTTCTATACTGAGTGCTATTAAGTGCTTGAAATGAAATAATATTTTTATTCTAATCTTTGATTCTTATAATATCAATTTTTCTGACACTATCACTGCATTATCACATGACTTATCTACATTGAATTGTGAGAGAGTTATGATGAATATCAGTAAAGAAAAGATAAGAATTGTTATATCTTGTATTGTATTTCTTAAAGATATATCACAGTAAAATAGTAATACCGAAATCAAAGAATCAACTGTAAGAAGATTATACTGAAGCTGCTTTATTAATGATAAAAATCAACTGAATCTGAACTATAATCTACACAATAACAGTTAATTTCATTATTATATATAATATCTTCAGTCTAAACTGAATGATCTGCTGAATTTCACACACAGAGAGTAAATATATCAAGAGCAGAATATAACAGTACAGACAGTGTCTCTTTTTCAAATATACTTAAGTTTGAATTTAATCTTCTTTTTTTCTTCTAATTCATATTATAGTAAGTTCACTGATATATCAGAGATTTCATACTTATTACTAATCAGTACTGTTTTATCACTATATAGTTAGCTAGAATACTTCTGAATATTGTAGATATTGTCTTTTCTTATAATTAAAATCATCTACAGTCACTGATCACTCATCTCAAGAAGTATCAGCTTTAAGAACATGCTTAAGCTTTAATTATTATATCTCTTATCTTGCAGTGTGAGCTCAGAGAGAAATGACTTAATCTGATAATTAAGCAGATTATTTCTGCAGTATTTTCAGCATCAAATCAATCATCTATTAATCTTATTATTTAGATATATATAGTTATTATAAGAAGTAATAGTCTATTAATATCTCAATCTCTGAGAGAAAATGATTCTGAAGTAACTCATTAAATCATACTTATAGTCTACTGATAGCTATAATTTCTTATTGAAGCTGCAGTAAGAGCAGTAGTAATATTTAAATTATTCTAAACTGATTCAGTTATTAGTTATCAGTTATTCTCTGCTTCAACAATAAGCACAGTTACTATATATATCAGTGATTATATTAAAAAAACAAAGCTTATATAATATATAAAGAGTTGACTGAATATATATATTAATTTACACTATATTAAGCTGATTAAAGAATACACTGTTAGACTGACTGTGTGACCGTGTCTGAAACCAGAATCAAACTTTACAGTTATTACATTGCCTAAAAGCATTACTTCTGATCATAGTTTGTGTTCATTACATTGATCTCAAATCATGTTATTTCAAATATTAAAGATCTCAGATTCACTTTTCAAATAAAAATCTAGTCTCAGATAAAGAATATATTTGAATTCTTAGTCACATTTTCATTCTGATTTCATTATTGAAAATGACATTAAATGAGATCATGAAATCATTTCTTACTTACATAATATCATAACATAGTACTTATTTGTTAAAAATTCAATAGAGAGTATTATTGAATATTATTACTTTTCTGAACACAGATTATAATTGATATCATTTTAATTAAAAAAAAATATAAAATACAAAAAATAACAAAAAAACAAAAAAAAATAATAAGAAAAAATCACAACAAAAAAAAAGAAAAAGAAAAAAAGAAGAGAAAGAAAAAAAGAGAAAGAAAGAGAAAGAAAAAGAAAGAAAAAGAAAAGAAAAAGAAAAAAACAAAAAATAAAAATAAAAAAAAATCAAGATTACAGAGTCACAGTACTTTTAAAATACTCACTTCTCAGAGTCTTCATAATATTTATTATCAACTGTGTATCTCTTACAGTGAGAATAATATGACTGCAATGAGTTATTATCTTAACATCATCTAACAAATAATCAGTATATATCTATATAAATGTGAATAATTAGAAAATATACACTTAAAAAGTGTAATCAGAGTGAACTCTGCTGTCACTTGAATAATATCAAGAACAGAATGCTGAAATTGATGATTTCTCTCATCAATTTCACAGATAAGATATGTGAAGATGATCTTGAGAAATATAAGATTTTCTGACTTCTGATAGAAACAGATCTTATGAAGAGACTTTATTTTCATCATATCAGAGACTGAGTATTATTAAAAAGTATTACTTTAATACACATGCACTTACTGCAGCAATTCATTGTCTATACATATGACTGAGAGTTATGGCTTTCTCACACTGCACAGCTCTCTCTGGAATGCTGCTGCTGATTTATAATTCACACAGTCTCTCAGTTCAGCACACACTGTGCATATGCAGCTCTGTGTGCTGGGGCTGTGTTGATCATTATAGTCTGGCATGATACTCGCTTTTCGCGGGCCATGTTTCATTTAATTGAGGGAAGAAGGAGACATAACTGCTGTTTTATTTGAGAGAAGAGTGAGTAATTGAATCTGTAAAAGATAATTTGATTTCTTCTGTATTTGAAATTTGATTAGTCTATACTCTTCAATTTGAGAATTTCTGAGAGTGTTTTAATAGTTTTCATACCAGCTTGAAATTAGTGATTGATTGAAGAAGAGAAAAGAGAGAAGAAAGAAATGAGAATAACTTATCTTTATAATATGAAAACAGAGAATTGCTGCAATTATTTATTCTAGTAATAAAGATCTGTTTTCTGTATATATCTCTGATATAGATTATATGATAACTGTATACAAAGAATATCAACAGTGCATGCATTGAATGAAGATGATATTGCTATATAACACTGTAGCTATTTCTGTACATCACTGAAAGCTGTTAATATTTTCTTTGAGTCTCTTTATATTTGATAAGTTAGTAATATATTTCAATACACTCTCTCTTTCATCATTATTATCATCATTATTACTATTATCATTATCATCATTATCATTATTATTATATCATTTCTGACTGTCTCTTATGCCTTTATCTCTCTTCAATACTTATTAAAATTAATTAGACTGACCGTGTGACCGTGTCTGAGACCAGGATCAGAATTTTTGATAGTTTCATTGTCAATTCGACAGATCCCATTACACAGTTCTAACATTAGATAGTAGTCTTATACTGTCTCAGTGAGACTTACTGTCTACTCTTATCACATTTTTCAAATGAGATCATGATTTTCACTGCTGAATTTAAATTATTTTTATTGCTTTAAATGACTTTAAATCTCATTTAAGTGTTACCAAAAAGTGTTACTTTTTAAAAAATGAAAAATAGTTTTAAAAAAACCTTAAAATGTCTAAAAATAGTAACTTTATGCTAAGAATGAGACTAAATGAAATCAAATGGGATCACTTTCTCATTTTTTTCAAGTCATGGTTTCATTTTGAGATCTGATATATAGTCACTTTGCATGTTTATTTAATGATTAGTCTCAGTGGGATTCACGCTAAGAAATGTATGAGACCAGATCAAATGAGATCAAATGTGAAATTCATAGTCTCAGCGGCCAGTTTAAAATCAATTATGTCATCTCTCTTCAAATATTCTGCAGTTCTGCGGATCATCAAGGCGTGTGAGCATCATCACAGATTGAAGAGAGAGAAGAAGAAGACATTTAAGTGAGAGAAGACAGATTGTAAGACATGTTATAATACCTTGAAGAGACTCTGTAAGAAAGTAGAATAATAACAATTTTAAGTAACACTTCTGATAGATTTAGACTGAACAAAGTATAGAAATAATGCAGATGACACTGTCTGTGAGAGATTGAAGAAGAAGATAGTGAAGAGTCTTATACAGTAGCAGTGAGATCAGAAGAAGTTCTGAGAATAATTTAAGATCAAGATAAAGAGAGAGAGAGAGAAGAAGAGTGTTACTATAAATAAGTAATAATAGAAGAAGATTGAGAGAGTGTTAAAGTAAGAGATAAAGAAGTTAAAACTGATTAGTTTTTTATTTATTGAGAAATAATGATTTTTGATAATACTTCTGTTCTCTAATTAATTAGAAGAAGCTGACAGAGAAGAAGAGAATTGAGGTCTTATTCAGGTCTCAAATGCACTTCATAATTCAGAACATTGAGAAGACAGTTCTGATCTCTGAGCATGTCAATCTGCTTATCACTGAGATGAAACCTGAGACAGCAGACAAGAAAATGCGGGATTTTGAGGCACAGGTTAATCTGACTAAGAGGAAGCAGTGAGAACTCTTCTCTGAGAAGATAGTGAAGAGAGATTTTGAGATGATTATTATCTCAGATGAGAAGAAGAAGAAGAAGATGAAGAATGAGAACTGAATTGTAAAGAATAATAAGAAGAATGAGAAAGAGAAGAAAGATAATAAGTAGAAAAAGTTTTTTTCTTTTTATATTAGTTAATTATAAGTTCATAATTATTAATAATTGAAATTAATTTTGAGTTTTTAAAAATTATTGTACAAGTTGTAATCAAGTCAGGAACAATATATATATATATATATATATTTAACTATCATGATTCACAAATCACTATAATGTATAAGTATTAACATTTTTTCAACATTGATATTTACAATATTAATATATTTTTAATAATATTATCTGATAATGTAATTTAGTAACTCTCTCTTTCACAATATTAATATATTTCAAGAAATATGACAGAGATTAATCAAGATTATTTATTTACTTTTATACATTGATAATATTCAATCTGAGTTAGTACTAAAATTATAACTAAGCTAAGAAATAAGATTATTTTCTCTTATATTAATTCTTCTTATACATATCAGTAATCAGTTATTGAAAATAAATTATTATCTTTCTTAAATTATTATCATATCTTCTGAATCTACTTCTTTCACTTTTTTTACTTCTATTAAAGATTCACAAACTCTTTAAGAAATCTCTGTGAATTACAAAGTCTATGTTGTTTATAATTCAATACAGAATACTCTCTTTCAATAATGATAAATAACTACTTCATTCTTCACATCTGATTTCAGGTTATAAAATTTATGAAAAACTCAACACAAACACTGAGATGAACTATGAAATAATTATTAACAGATTGTATTATAGATTACTGAAGAGTCATCTCTCTGCTACAATCACTACAACTTTATTCAGAAACATTTATTATAAACTGATTATAACTCTGAAGAAATTTTCTGACATCTGAAGTTATCAGAATACAGATAATAAAAGAAAAATAATCAGAAAATTACTACTGAGCTGATAAGTTACTCTATCAGATAATAATTTTTAATAATACTAACTTTCTAATTTGAAGAAAATCATGTGAAAATAACTCTGTATTAGTACTCTGATTTCATAACTCTCATCTGATAACTTCTGTGAATAATTACTTTATATATATATATCTCTGAATCTTTCTCTTCAATCAATTGAAAATCCTGAATTCTGAACACTTCTTTAAATGCTTAATTCAAATCTTCATATTTCACATTAATTCTGGCTTTGATTCAATCTTGAGACACACTACAAAGTTAATATACAATATCTAGAATCAGAGTTCAATGTATATACATCATATCAACCGCTTCACCACGAACTCGCTCGATTTTTCGAATAAGAACCCGCCGATAGATCCATCGAAAAGCCCTCGATCATACGAGCATTTTGACCCCATCGCCGACCGCATACCCCGTGTGGTGGTGGAGTTATTCAGTCAAATGTGAACCAGATGTCATTCGGAACTCCTGCGTGGGATTATCCCTCATTCTCCCCTATCACACCACAACCCCGGGCCAAATTGCCATACAAATTGTAAGGTGAAGAGACCTAGTCATATGCACCAATCTTCTTGATTTTTGAAAGATCCTTGATCTGTAGTTGTGAAGATATCTGAGGAGTGATCTCCGCGAAAACCCTGCCCATCTTTGATGTTTCAAAACATCAATGCCAAGTCCCACCCTCATATCACCCTCCTCAATCTGGCTCATCCTCAGCAGAAAAATACAAAAAGATACCTCAGTGATAATATCAAGCATATAATCAACAGCTACTTCTGAAGTGCAATCTCTGTGATCTGTCTTCAGTGTATCTAGATATCAATACCAAGTCTCACTCTCATATCATCTCTCTCAATCTGACTCATCTCTGACAGAAAAGTACAAAAAGATATCTCAGTAACTGTACTCAATACATAATCAGCAGATATAACAACTATAAAATCAGTATATCTCAAGATCTGACTGAGCCTTTGATCTCTGCACAGTGAGATATATTAAATCTAGTTTTAATATCTCAATATTTAATAGATTCTGTAAGGAATTGAGAACAGCAATACTAGATTTCTATTGAATTTGAGAATTAACTCTATATTAATATAATCATTGACAAAGTCTGCTATTTTAAGATATAAATAACCAGTTTCTCTACATCCTGCTGATAATATTTATATTATTATATAGAAACAGACTTATATTCTCTATAATATCAAGACTCTGAAGAGGGAAAGTCTTGATAGAGAGTATATAATAGTGCATATCTTAGCAGTTTCTATCTCATTCTTCTGCAGTAGTTAATACAAAAAAAAGATCTTAGAAATAGTTTTTTACTTCTCTTGAAAAAGTAAGATGTTTTTCTCTGAGTTTTATATAATATTCTTACAAAGAATTAAAAACAGAGTTATTTTCTATCATAATTTCATATTCTTTTAAGTAAGAATTACTTTTTCAGTGACTGAAAAGCTTTTATTAATACTTAATTCTTTTTTATACTCTTTATTAACTGATTTGAGTTGCACACTTATTGTGTGAGAAGAATTGAATGATTTAGAATAAAATTGAATAGTTTTAATCAATTTCTCTGCAAAAAATTGATTTATTTTTTGTCAGTTTTTCTCTCAAAAACTGTCATATTATCTGATTTATTATTAATTGATATCATACTTTTTCTCACTGTATCTCAAGAAAGAGATTGTAAAAATTTTATTGATTTATCTTAAAAATTAATTTTAGTTTATTAGATTCTCTTCAAAAATCTAACCTAGTTACTGAACTAGTGTGAAAAAAATCAGGTGTTTTATATACAAAAGTCTTTTATTCTTCTTTTGAAACAGTCTGATCAACTTTTCAATTGAAAACAGACTTAGAAATATCTCAATTGAAACAGTCTGACCAACTTTTCATTGAGTGAAAATAATGAGTTCAAAAATACACTCAGTTGATGTGAAAAAAGATGCTTTCTCAAATGCTATTTCTGAGATTGAAATTCTGAAGAGAAGAAAGAAAGAAGAAATAGAGAAACAACAAGTTCTTGAAATACAGAAACTTGAAAAAGCAAGCTAGATTCTTGAAAAGCAGTGTCTGAGTGAGATAAATGAAGAAGTTCTGTTAATTCTTCACACTCAGGCTAGACAACTACAGAAGATGATCAAGTTCAAACTTGAAATCTCAAACATAGTTTAAAAAACATTGAAAATTCCTAGTATAATCACTGACTTTTCATCTTGCTCTTCTTCTTTCTGTTTTTCTACTTCTTCTTCTTCTTTGAATCAGAAGAAAACATATGCTCAAGTAGCTGAATTTGCTGTCTCTAAACCTGCTGTCTCAAAACCTGCTCAAAATCCTGAGAAAACTGAGAAGAATACTGCTCATATCTCTATTCATAGAAAAGTGAAAAAGAAAATATAAAAAGAGAAAAACTTTCAAATCTTCAGAAATAGAAGACTTATTCTCAAAGTCTCAAACTAGGACATTCTGCAAAGAAATAAGCTAAACTCAAATCTCATTTTCAGAATCAGAAATAAAATTAATCAGCAGTTCTTTTCTCAGTTGATGACTGATATTGAAGTTTAAAAATCAGTTATAGCTTCAATTGAGTCATCATTCTTTGAAAACTTCATCATTCTGACTATAATGCCTGAATTCAGTGCTGAATTCCTTATTCAGAATAAGAATCTCTGAAAGTCAGCAGTAGAATCTTTGCTAAACACAATAATTCTATCTGAAAGAGATGAAAAGTGAGATAAATTTATTCTTCATGATATTTCAGTTGAAATTTTTGACTGTGAAGAAGAAATGCTACTTCTCAAAAATGAATTGAATGAATACAACTCTATTCAACTGAGAAAGAAGCCTGTATGACTAAATTCAATTAAGTTCAGAAAAAGCAGGAGAAATGCCTCTGTTCTAGTATGTACAAAAACACTTGAATAGTCAAAGATCTCTGAAGTAAGAGTAACAGATTTGAAAATGAGAGTTCATGAATACAAAGACTAAAGAATGAATCTCAAAGCTCAAACACAGTGTTCAAACTGTCAAAGATATGAACACTTTGTAATCTCATGTTTTAGAGACTCAAAATGTGCATTCTGTGCCAGAGATCACAAAACTAGTGAGTATAAATGTGAAACATGCTTAAAAATAGATGAAATTTGTCAACATACTCTGCTTAAGTGCTCTAATTGCAAAGAAAAACATGCATCTAGCTCAAAAGAATGTATGTTTACTTCTAGAACTCAAAAGAACTGAAGAAAAGATGAAGCTCAAAGTCAATCTAGAACTGAAGAGAAGAGTCAAGTCAGTAGACTTACAACTGCAAGCTTAAAAAGAAGAAACTCTCAACTATCTAAATCTTCAAACTTCAATTCTTCAGCTAAATGTAAACAGAATTTGAATTCTCAAACTTCTGTTAAGATTAGAGAATTGAGAAATGACTCTGATAATAAACTAGATATAATGCAAGCAATTGAGATTCCTACTTTTCAAAATAGTTATAATCTACTATCTGATAATAGTGACTAGATTCTACTCTATCTCTACTCTCTTTTAGTATGAATATACAACAAAAACAACAAAAAAAGTTTAAAAACTCTTCAAAAATCACATTTAATCAAAATAATGTGAATAGAAACTCAAATTGTATTTATTCTTGTCTTCAAATTGTATTTGAACAAAAAGTTGATTTTATACTACTTCAGAAACTGAATTTTGATGCTGAGCAAAATTACATCATTTCTCATTCAAGCTACTACTGCTTTCTATCTTAAAAGTCTGAGATAAAGTCAAGAGTAGTGATCTATGAAAGAAAGAGATTAAGATATCAATTTAATCTAAGATTTGATATCATGTCTGACTCTGATATTCTGATGGGTGATATTATAGATAAAGAAAATGAGTTTGATATGATACAGCTTATAAATATCTATAATGAAAAGTCATTGAAGAAAAATAACAATATCTGAACAATTGATAGAG